CAAAAACCCTTCACGTGGTGAGCTTTCTCATTTTTGCACCTGTCAACTTCAAATTGATCTGGACACTGTCCAGTTTTCAAAACTTTTAAATTTGTGATTCCAGACAACCTCCAGACAACCTAGAATAGTAAATGTAACATATCTGAAAACAAGAGTGCGTCCATATTAATTTGAAGGTTATTATGCACCCAAATGACAAAGTTTACCATGTGAAGGATTCTTGCAGATCCTATCATGTATCAGCTGGATGGATGGAACATAGATTTTAGCCCTGCTGTACCAGAACATGGTACAGCAGGGCAAATTACAAACAGTTCCTATAAACTGCAAATGGTTTATTTTAAGATTTTGAGGACCGGAGTCCAGACTCAGACTCGCGTTCGGACTCCAGTCCACTTTTGATGTTTTTGGGACTCAGACGCAGGCCAAAAGAGTCCAACACAAGTCCAACCATAAATGACTGTTTTGCTTTTGTTCCATTGATATGATGTATTTTCGTTACCTTTCTGCTCTCCATAGTCACGATAGTTTTTAAGTACTTTTGATTCCTTCTAAAGCATGTTGAGATATTTTTGGCAAAAGGCTACACTTAGAATAACTATTGTGTCACTATAGGCTCTGAGCAAGAACAAGAGAGGGCCTGCTTTTACATGGAAACGACAGTCCTTTAGTGTGAACTTATCGTGTAGTGAGCTTATCGTGTAGGTTCGCAGGTTTATGCATGCTTGGTGCAGTTTATGGAAGGGCTAAAACTCGTATTTTTAATAATAATAATAAAAGCAGATTCTTATATAGCGTACATATCCATCACAACTGATGCTCAAGCCGCTGTGTTATCATTATCCCTGCACATTGGGCTCACAACAACTGAACAATTCTGAAACCATCTCAGCTCCCTGGGGAGTATACTAGCTGATGTTGCCTTATCAGGCGCACACAGCTAACATAACCAAATCTGCCCTCACAGGTGCCCATTTACTCCTGGGTGGAGAGAGGCACATAGGGGTAAAGTGACTTGCCCATGATCACAACATGCTGCCACCAGATTCGAACCCCTGACCCTATGATCAGAAGCTACAAACCCTAACCACAAGGCCATGTGCCCCCCCATATACTTTTAGACTAGTACTCAGACTCAAAGTAGATCTCAGAAGATAGTGGACTTGACCACAACGTTGACTTGTCCCTGAGACAATTACATGTAGTTTCCTTTTAATTGTGACTGGAATTGTGTTGGGCTCGACTAGAACTTTGATACAAACCTTTGAGTAAATGGTTTTGCTGTTGTAGAATGCTGTTGTGGGACTGCGATGCCAGGACCTATAGCTACTATGTCGAGGTATCCACCGACCAGAGTACCTGGATGAAGGTAGCTGATAGGACCAAAGAAGCGTGCAGGTGAGTGGCCAAGCTTGAAGAAGAATTCATCGCTCATGGGAACAGTAAGCTAAAAAATGCTTTGCACGAGGCTCAGCCCACCAGTTATCACTGAACTAATACATGTACCGTGAGCCGTTCTTTGACTCATCTGGGCTTCTGCTCTTGCCAGCATACAGAGCTGTGTTGTATAACCTTATAGACTTGTCCAACGACTCACAATTACTTCAGTGGCGCCACATTCTAAACTTCAGGTGCGCATGTATTTTGGCAAGTTGTGGAAACGCCCTGTTGGTAAAGGAGTAACTTTACACATGCGTATGACCTGCACATCTGCACATGAGCATGGTTTAAAAAGTAATGTTCTCTAATTCATATCATTGGATCAGTCTACAAGTGCTGTATGATATTGGACATGCCCACAGTAACTGAATTCGGTGGTGCAAATACCTATGGTTTTGAAGTGGAGAGACCATCTGTCGTATTTATACGAGTGGTAATAAAAGTATAAGTTTATATGAAACCAAGAGAGTAGCTTCATGTTGAGTTATCATTGTTTTGCTTTGTCTCAGGTCCTGGCAGTACCTGAAATTCCCTAAGCAAGCTGTGACATTTGTCAGGATTGTTGGCACTCGGAACACAGCAAACGAAGTAAGTCTTCACAGTAAACCTGACTCTGACTGTTCAGGTCACGTGCCCTACAAAAGGCAATTTTTTAGGAACCAAAATTCATCTTTAGGTCCAACAACTTTCCTCTGTTGGAAAAATTATTAAAAATACCATAGCTGCACAGTGTCATAACTTGCACAGTTTTGAATTTGGAAGCAAGTATGTTTAGTAAAAGAAATATGCTTCCTTTCTGAGAAATGATGTTTTTATCCCCTGAATTACATTAGATTGTTGAGTTACCCCGGTTAGCAGCTTCTGTTGTCGTCTATTTTTGGTGTGCACTGAACTAGTTATAAACTGTTCATGTTAGATGCAACCTCCTAAGTGAACATACAGAATTTAGCTAGGCACAATGTGTCTAAGGTTTCAACACAGGACGGTAATAAACCTTTTGTAAGTTAAATTTGAATAAAAAATTGGTACACTGAGTTATCTGATTGCAAATAAACATAAGTTGAATTCCCCTGACTAAAGACACTGTAGCTAACTTGCTATACTTCATGATTCAGGGCAGGCTTTTGCATAGCACCACTATCTTTAGAATGGACTGGTTCCTTCGTGCCCTTCTTATCCATTGAAGGCAGTGCACTGGTGCAAGGTGTCTCATATGTTACTAACCAAAAGTTTGCCCCAAATCACGAGATGTAGCAATAGTGTCTTTAGTATGGGGAATTCCTATTGTTGTTTTCATGTGCATTTAAAGAACTCAGTGTACCAGATTTTATTCAAATTCAACCGGCAAAAGGCTTATGCACATAAGATAACCCCATCCCCAAGATTCTGTTTCAGTTACATAGAATCATGTTTTATTGAGTGAGGTTAAGATTAATGCACTGAGTCCTTGCTAGTTTCTGACTGCAACCATGACAGCTTTCAGCCAAAACCTGTTTCCCCACTGTCATTTTTTGAAAGGTCACGAACTTGCGCAATTTTTCATGTGCATTTACTGTTTCCATTCAAATCAATTTAATTATTCACCTGTCAGGTATTCCACTGTGTTCATTTTGAATGCCCCGCCCAGTCAACGGACACACCCACAGGGAGGGAAGAAGGAGGGGCATCTGCAGCGGGAGGGGACAGCCAGCCTCAGGGAATGTCCCCCCAGCCGAGCGCACCTTCATCCCTGCATCACAGGCACTTACATCAAGGTATCTGAAAGGGTTGTCAGTCAGTATCTCTAGAGGGAGGGTTTCCTCACATGATAACCGAGCCTTGGGGGAATGACACCCCTGCCTCCCGAACTTGTCCTTGGCCAACCCTGTATGGAGGGGATTACACCCAGCATCAAAGGGTGAGGTTTGCCCGCTACACTGTATGGACGGTTAATCAGTTTTCAAGGGGTAAGGCATCTAGGGCTCTGTTGGGATAACCAGCCTAGGGAACAACAACCCAGCCGAAGTTATCTGTAGTCCACCCAGTGTAGAGGATGAAGGCACCAAGAATCAGAGGGTGTAGCACCTAGTTTACTAGGGGACAGTTACCTACTGTCTTAAGAGGAAGGCTTCCAGAACACTACAGGGATAACCATCCCCAGTGGACACCAGCCAATCAGAGCTTATCGTTCCCCTCCCCCAGCACCGAGACTTTTCTCAAGGTAGTTGAAAGGGAGGCACCCTGACATCCGAGGGTGAAGTACATGTACCCAGTTGTCTGAGGAGGAAGTCGTTCAGTATGCAGTGGGCAAGGCAGCAACACAGGGTAACTACTCCATATTACCCCGCTCTAGTGTATTCATTCCTCCAGTATGGGACAGTTTTTAAAGTGAGACCATCCCTTAACCTCCAGTCTGAATTCAAGTCCTGATGCAACCAAGGTACTCCCTTGGTATCCCCAGTTCCTTGAGACTGGTATTGTGAATGTTTTGGTGTCCATCAACTACAACAGTTGTACAGGGGCATTTGTGTAGACTGCCATCAGAGGGTGAAGGTACCTTTAGATGGAAGAACTGGTCCTAGAAAATATCAGCGAAGCGTGGCCCGTCCCTCCATTTCCACTTTGCACAAATGTATAAATCAAGGTACTGGGAAAAGAAAAAAAGCAGAGGGAAGATCCCCCAGCGTAGCGGATAAAGGCAGTCAGTAGAGATTGTGGAGAATCACCTGCAAAGGGTGGATGGTTGGTGGAAGCGATGCACTGTGCCTTACAATAAACCTTCCCAGCAACCATGTGTAGCACTTACATGTACGACCTCGAAATGTGCTCACCCCCCTTACCTCTGTGCACTTTCAGCATTAGAATGGTGCCAAATTCCCAAAGTGTGGCGAGTAATGCCAGAAGCGACAGCATTTTGTAAAGGTTCTCAGATGTTCCCAACACAAGTGCTTGTTTGCTTAGGTTACATACATGCTGCATTTACATTCATATTCTATACAGAGTTCATTTATATATGGTGTTTGAGCCCATGGTTTTGGTTGTGAACACTTTGTCCCCTAAGTGAACTGATTTACATCAAAAATCTGTAAGTAATAAGATGTACAGAAATATTGTCTGAAAGTCTCCAAGGTTTCGATATTGTTTTATCAAAGACACTTGTAAAAACACGAGTGGCTGGTAATTAAGTGCAAGAGTATGGTCCTATCCAAACCCTGTAGAGTGCTTTTAGACACTATATCTATCGCTTATAATTCAGGCCACTTTACCCTGTAAATTTAGGACCTCATCTTACCGGTGAAGGATTGTCATGTGGCTGTCATAGTTTGCCTGTTACTGCAGTGCCGTCGCTTGATCATTTACTATGTAGGCTTTATAACCACCCCTCGGATTGTAAGATCCATGGCTCGTCACGCTATTTAGCTGAAGAAACAGTGCTGTTAAAAGAAATGTACCTGCGGTTTATATTATCTTGTTTCTTGAACGTGTCCAGTCAGTCACGTTTGAGTACAACTGTTGCGTGTTAAAATTATATGACCTGCAGTTTGTGTGAGCTGATAAAAATTTGCTGAAATTCTTCTGCTGGGTAGGTTTTCCCAATGACAAGAGAGACATGATTCATAAAACAGCCCCCAAAACAGAAATAAAATTGAATTTGGTTTGCTTTATGCTTGTGCAATCTTTGCTGGCCAGCAAGTAATCAGACATTTGTTTGATAGCTTAAAATTACAGTCTTTTCCTGTCGTAATGGTTTTTTGTATTCAGCACTTATTCTGTTATTTGGAGAAAATCGAAAAGAAGGATAGACGAAAAAAATAAAACAGATACATGTATAATATTTTAGTGGCAGAAAATTTGAAAGCAAAAACTTGACATAAAATGTAAAAAAAATAGGGCCATAGATCAATGTGTTTAATTTAGCGATTCAGTAGATAATTGCATTTGCTAATCTGCACAAATAAAACTCAACATTCCCCTCTGCTGCATGAAGTCAGTTCAACAAATTCTGTTGTATTGAGGTCTTGCTTGTTGATTCCATCTGACAATGATGTGTATGCTATTTCTTAGTTACAGAATAATGGTCTCTCCACACCATTTTATCCAAGATGATGGCTGAAATTTAAATTTAAATGGCTTCTAAATCCATTACAAAGCATTGCAAGATTTTGACATGTTGGCTAAAGTTTTAGTGAAAACTCTCAGTGGACGTAGACTGTTCCAGTGATCAAACAGCGAAAGAAAGCCACTCAAACTGACATTATTGTAAGAAAATTTGATGGCAGCTGTGGGTTTTAGAATTGAGAAAAATACCTCAAACGTTTTCTACTTACTCTGTTCAGCAGCTGTGGTTGGGAAAAATACAAAGCCTTAGCCGCCCCGGCTGTGTTCTATTGCTGTGGTCAGCCTAATTTTCCTTGGACAGTTTTGGGGTTTTCATTGAATTCTTGTGATGTTATGAATGTGAACACATTGCCAACCCTCAGCTTTAAGCAACATTGTAGGTCAGTGCACGTTCGGTTTTAGTGTGTATGACTGAATTGTGTTTCAGTGGTCCTGCCATGTCTTGTCCAATTCCGTTTTCTTATTTTTCACCGAAGTTATAATCTTGGCAGAGATAAGAAACATATACATGTATAATCCAAACAAAGTTATACAAGAGTAGTTTCCATGACAGATCTTTACTGCACATTCAAGATGTTAGGTATCACTCGTGAGTTTTGTATCACTAAAAAACGTGCAGTAGAGATCATACAAGCACAAATTTGCCCAATATTCACAGGGATATCCCAGCTCTGTCAAAGCCTTGTGTGAACTATTGTTCAACATAACTTTCCTTTAGCCTGTTGTTTTGAACAATAGTAAGCGAAATGCTTGTACAATGACCGGGGTGACCCTTCTTAATGTACATGCACATCTATCTGGTACCGTGGTGTGTGGATGAAATTCATGTAGACACTGAAGCCAAGGCTTCCAGTGTAAAGCCATCGTAATGGCTCTATATATCTTTCCTTTTTCCAATCCCCGCCACAAAAGGGTGAAATTTTGAGGGAATCTTAAGTTTCTGCATATTTGCATTGATTTTCTTACATCTCTGTTGATGCTGAGGTTATCTCCATGCTATGCCTTTCACATTTTTAACATAGACTGTTCGAATGTAATCAAGGCTCTGCCTTCATTTTTCCTCCCAGTTGTTACCTGTATAATTGATCCAACAATCTTCTTTTAAGTTGGTATTTCACAACAGAGCCTTATATGAAAACAAGAGTGTTATTTATTCAGATTGTATAGTGTAAAATAGTGTATATTGATCATTTTGAATGGATAATGTATGTTTGTGAAGACTATAGTTCCTTGGAGGTGCACACTGAGAATTTAGTTCTATAATAGAATTTTGTTCACAGTAAAGGCTTGGGCTGTGTCCAAAACAGAGTTGTAGTGTAGCGGCTACATCTGCTGTCAGGTTATGCCTGTGTGGCTGCAACCAGCACAAATCTAGACCTAGCACTAGATTCAAGGTTTGGACAAGGCTTAGATACATGTAAAACGTGAGTTTCAACAAAGTCATTAACCCCATTACTCTTGTACTCAGGATGGCCCAGGCCAGTTCCCTCGTTGCTTTTATGTACCACATAACTGTTGATTAGCTTGGGTGCATGGATGATGTTTTTGGAAAGTGACCTGCTTTGCCAAGAGCAAGTCTGTTGTGCCAAAACTGTCTTTCTGAGCCTTACCTACATTCATGTGAATGAATACAGCATGAACTGAGCTTTCTTTCCTTTCTTTTCTACATGTATGTGTACATATTGGACTCACAAAATACATTCTGTTGCTCTTTCTTCAGCCAACTGTGAAAAGTCACCCGAAATCTTCAAGTATTTGTAAAATAATATTAGCTTTTCAACTTGCCCATTTCGTAACAACTAAAAAATTTTTAAATATGCAGCATACAGGATCGCACATACTTCACACAGAAGTGAAAGTTAAAGCTAAGAAACGAAAAACACATTTGGGACGACAGTAAATTTGTATACTTCGCAAGGTTTACCTCACCTTTGCTTTGTAGTTTATCAATTTTGGCCTGAAAACAATAGCAACTTTCTACCACCTGACAGAAAGTATAACTGAAAAAAAGGAGGTCATGCCTGGATGTGCAAAAGTTTTTCCTAAAATTATGACCCAAAGGCATTCAATTCAGTTAATATACCATGTAAAAATTGGAATAATAAAAAGGGCTTTTATGTGATGTATGCAGCGAGCCCCTGAGACTGCATCAGAATGGAATGACTGCGGCAAGAAATAACACATTAGCCACTTTAAATCTGTGGCTTGGGGCTGAAGCCATTTCCCCATTGGTGAGGATGTTACTCAAAGCCACAGCCAACTGATTTGGACACAGCCTAAGACTCATTTCATTTTGTTAAGTTGGTCTAGGAGCAGGTGGTAACTGTGATTGTGTTGGTGACAGCTGTAGGGGGTCTGGTGATTCACCACGCAGTTTTCCTGCTGTGATCTGAATGGAAGCAAAGACTACCGATGTCAGGTCCTGCAGCCGTAATTTCAAATCTGGTTTTTTAAAGTCACATTTCTTTTAGCCCTCCATTTTGAACGGAGTTCTAGCTGTGTCGTAGTTGAGTCTTGTTTCCTAAATCCAACTTACGTGAAATTCAAGACGTTGCTGGAATCATGCTTAAGTACAGATACCAAAGCAGTGGTTTGAATGTGCAGATGACAGGTGTCCAAGAGCTGCTACAAAGGTCTGCAAGGATTTGGGCTCTGGCTCAAGTTTTTTGTAGGAGCACTCACAAGCAACCTCATGATCAAAAGCCTAAGTAATCTTACAGTCTAGCTTGATACCCACTGTAAAGTGTCCTAATTTAAGTTGCATGTTGGATTTAGAACTCGGCTTCATCTTTGAATTACTGTCAGGGTACTTTTAGTGCTTTATAAAATCTTTTGCAGCTTATGTGACAATGTAAGCTGCTTGTGTTAAGTTTGAGTGTCACTAACAAAATCATCATGACTTGATTTGGAATAGCATAAGATGTGGTGGTATTTTTGCAGGGCTGGTGTCAAAACCGGTACAAAACAACAAGAACTGGTCTGTGTGCTCTGTATCATTTTTTCATTGTGCTCCTGGTTACACTATGTATTCAGAAAGTATTTAAAGTAAATTTATTTGAGCTGTCAGGTTTTCTTCCCTCTGATGCCCTGTGTTCCTAAATGGGAATGTTGGCATTGTTATGAGATCAAGGTTTCCGTATTGGCTCTGCAGCAGTCTGGTACCTTTTGCAAATAAATTGTTTCTAAATTAGAGTGTGACTAAACCTTCAAAACCTATGGTATTACTTTTAATTTATTCACATATTTTTTTGGTTATCTTTTTCATGTAACTAAAGAGGATACATTATATGTATTTTAAAATATAGAATTGAAGCGTTGATTTATTCTTGAAGCAGCTTGACTTTGTACATTGTGATAAGATTTTGACTAAATATTAGATATATTCCAACCAAATCAATAATTACACATGGGTGTGTTGAAGAACTTTTATCCTGTGAATATGGAGTTGAATAAATCACTGTTGCACATTATTCTGAATTATAATTGAAATTGTAACTTTTGTCTTTTCTTTAGCAAAACTAGCTTAGTCCTCCTCTTGACTTGCCAGAGATAAACTTATAGTGACTTATGTTCCAGAGTTCCATCTAACCTAATGTCTGGAGAAACAGCTACCTTCTCAAAACAATCTTGCCCAGCCCCCTTGCTTGCGTAGTGCCTAGATTATCATAAATTCCCATTTCCAAGACCCTTTTGCAGAATGACACCACCCTGACATCAAGCAAAAAGCACTGGAATCTTCAAATCAAAACTTCAATTTCCAAGTATGGATAACGTGGGGGAGGTTGGTGATCATTTCATGTGAATATGCTGCTGTTAACTTCCTTGCTGAGATTGTGCAGTATCCCACTAGGACCAGAACCTTGCTTGCCACAAGAGATGGGGGCATCCAGAACTCATGCAGTTGGTTGAGCCTGGCTTCTGTATTGCCATCACGAGCGCTGACAGCACACAAGATGCCAGTATGCAGACAGTTGCAGAAGAGATGCTGCAGCACGTCACTTCACAAAATTAAACAAAATGGCATCCAAATTGGTAAAAAATTTTGTATAACATGCCTTTTCCCAGGTGGTAATACCGCCTCTTGAAGCCAAACTGATACTCCAGTTTGATATTTTTTACGGTCAGCTTTTTTTGTTGAAAATTGGTGCATCTTGTGTTGTTAATATGGAGCAAAATGAGCGGTACCAAATGAGAGAGAGACATCTTACACCCATCATGCCCGCATGTGTATTTTTGTAGGCCTACTCTGGTGACTCAATGCAGACAGCCGGCAAAGTTGAACCAAGTTTAATGACCGTCCCCATCCCTGTTGTGAGTTGTGATGTGAAGTGCTTCCAATCGACTGCGTATGGGAAACTGATCGGCGATGCTCTCTGCATCTCTTCGCGTTGATATGGAAACCAGGCTTTACAGACTGGCGAAAAGAGTGCAAGACTGAGAAACTGGGACACCACAAGCCATGGATAACAAGTGTGGATGATTTTAATATCGCTCAGTGGGTATACATCACAACGAACATGGTACTACAATGACCATTGCTGAGATGAGTGAGTGCATTACGAGAGTCGAGTACAGTCAGCACAACATAACATGAATGATTTGTATAATACATGCCTTGTGTGATCCAGACAAGTGCAAACTATTCACAGTAATGCTTGTTCAGGTCCTTGATATTTATACGGTCTTGATATGTTGTGTCAACAGGCTCATGCGCTGATGACGTCAACCGTTGTTTACATGCGCACTTTCCTATGGGAGCCGGGCGAGGATGATAGATCTGAAGCTTCGTTGGGAACTGTACATCTAAACAAAGCTTGACATCGTCAGCTCAGCGCATAGGCCTATTACATGGAGGCGTGTGCATTTATGAAAGCTGCAGATAAAAATTTGTATTGAACTCTTTTCTTTTAGACAAGTTTAGCCCGATAGTTCTCATGGTAAGACGTCTTCATCTGTCCAACTAGGTTATCAAAATTAACAATAAAAGATGCATAAAATAAAATAGAATTAATATACTGTATTTTCTTCTTAAAATGTCCCCAAGTATATTGCAGTCGTACACACTAGGTTTTATGCCTAAAACGTTGGGTTTTCTTTGTGATATCACAGTACACTTTTGCATCAAATGGCCAGGTGTTTCTACCTACACTTCTGCTGTAATCAGAAATCATTTTGGATGGGTTAGGGTTTACATGACACATATACACTCAAAAGGGAAATACTTATGTTGGTATTTGCATACCCTGCACATGCACAGCATACCAGTACAGGTGCATATCAGGGATGCCATGTTTTTCAGGTGAAAGTCTAATTTCAAGTTTGTTTCACGTTAAATATTGGGGCTAATCTCAGGGCTTAAGGTACATTCAAGTTTTTGGACGCAATTTTAAGGCTCTGAACAGCAACCTGGCTGGCATCCTTGGCATACATACTGCACCACTGAAGCTGGCCATGCCTCGTTGTTTCAATGTTGACTTTAATCTACTGATACCTCATGCAATTAAAAAAAAATCGATTAATCCCCATTACATGCTAAAATAAAAGCATTCTACCTGCATGGATGTTGTAAAGGGATTTACTAGTCTGAGTCATAGAACGGTTAATCAATTGTAATTTAATGTTTCTATGCCTCGATTGAATCATGCATAAAAATGTACTTTGGAGGCTAGTACCTCCAGACCCCCAAACTAAAAAAAAGAAAACATGTTGACAGTGTTGAAAGCAAAGCCCTTACATTTATTATGAACATTATATATATTTCAGAGAACATTTAAAAGATTTTTTTTCATGGTTCCTTTTTAGCTTAAATATCTTTTATGAGTACAAGGTTAGACCAGTCTCCATTACATAAATATATATATTTATTCTTACAAATGGTGAAAGATAATTTACAAAGACCTAATAACAGTACTGGATAATGTGACATGCATTTTCATGTAAATGCATCTTATACATGCTTTGATACATTTAACTCTCAACAGTCACTGTTGATGGAAAAAATGGTTAATTACACATGAAAAAATACTAAATTTTAAAATATACACAGATGTAAGGAAAGGATGCTGTATGATATTCTCTAAAGCAACACACTTTGTGGTGTTTCCAGTCTGCTGATTTGGAATTTCATTCCATGGAGTCCAAATGTATTTGTTGCTTTTTTTTTATATTATAACAGGTGCCACCCTGCAGAGGTTTCTGCACCACAGACCTTGCTGGTGTGTGCCCCTGCACACTAAAACAAGACTTGCATTTATGACCAGGAAAATCAGCACTCACTTTGAGCTTGGAGTAATGTATGTATGCTACTCGAGAAAACATGGTTAAATGCTGCAGAGTTGAATATACATATAAATCGCATCAAAGAAGTTCCGAAGAATTCATGGCCAGATGTAAGAACCTCTAGCCTACATAACCAGTACCTATAAGACAAAATACAATTTTCTCCTCAAGGTTATCTGTAGGATGTACAATATATCGTGTGAAGGCATGATGGGACAGCTTACGGTTTGGTTTTATTGACTAGGTATCAGCATCAACATCTGTGACACGACACGAGATGCAGGTAAACGTACATATATTTCACACTCAGTTTGGAGAAAATAGATTAGCGTATGAATCTTTTGCTCAAGTCTTAACCACTTGCTGCCGGGTGGATTTTTCTTGAGCAAGACAAGATGCCGGTTCATTTTCAAGATTTTCCGTTTTCAAAGTTCTTCAAAAATTCACCATTTCATTGAATGGCCGTTTATACCAAACTGAAGGATTCTTTGGGCACTATTCTAAAGCTGACAGGTAAAATTCATTGACTCCTGAATATTTCAGCCAGGCCTGCAGCCTTGGAAAAAGAGCCCAGATTGTGCGGTGTTTATATAAGATTCTTTTGTTCCCGAAACCAGCACAGTGCACTGCTGAGCTCTTCTCAATAGAGGCCAGATTAGCGTACAGCGGTGCTGTGTGGCTCATCGCTGCGGTGGTGGAGAGCTTTTGTCCCGGTGGTAATTCGTTCGCTCTAAATGCCTCAAACCATGGTATACTGTTTCAAAACAAGGCTGGAGCCCAGCAGCTCAGTCTTTTGTTATAAGGCCCAACTCTTTTGTCCCAGTTCCCGGCTCCCCGGCTCTGCATATAAAGCCTATGGACTTGAAAACGGGTCACCCGGCAGGGAGCGGTTAATACCAACAAGAGTGTGTTGGTCAGGACAACCAAGCGTGATCCAGAAGCTGATTCACACTATTTCATCCATGGGTGAAAAATTGCAGTTTTGGCTGCTCATACTTGTTTGGTACAACAAAAAATTGAAAAATTAATTTGGAGAGCTTTATTGGCTCACGTGTGTTGGCTTGATTAGTTTTGAAGGTATTTTCCTGTCAGCTACCAGGTGAGGTTTTGGGCTGGCCGTTGAGGTTAACATGTACTGACACACTCGGAAGCTTTGTAATGTAAATGCTGTTCCAACTGCCAGATATCACAGTGATGTGATATCGGAATGGGCTGTTGCTCCGACACTAGAGGGCCACTTCTGTCAGACAGTTGTCCAGCATCAGATGAACCTGGGACGAGGGCAGGGCTGGCTCCTGACCCCAACAAGTCTCAAGGATACCGATCAGCTGTTGGCATTCAAGAAGAGAAAGAAAAAGTGTTTGAATTCACAGGATTTTTACCAAGTTTACTCGCTCCGCAGACGCATGCCTGAGGAGGCTGTATGGCTTGTTCACGATGTAAACTCTTGGCTTCGTCTCTGGCTTAATGCCAAGGCCTGTGATCGATTTGCTGTTGGATTTGAATTCAACGTTGCTAAACTGTGGCCTTGTGTTGGATAATTTGATATTTCTACAGCAAAAAAAATAGTGCTACAGTGAGATTACGAGTCTCGTCTCAGGGTGTTTAAATTGATGAAACAGAAGCCAAAGGCCAAAGAGCGCAAGATACAAAATAAAAACCTCTTTTGATGGCACATACATGTATGCACCAGCAAGTGCCATACATCATACATAAAGGATGCATCATGTACTGTATTTGCATACGGAGCGACTGACCCAACTGACAAATGTCATGCCTTAATCTTAATTACTCTACCTGTAGATACTTTCACAGACTGTAAAGATCAAGTCAGAGGGTCAGTTTTTTTCACATGGATCTGGATCTTAATCAGTGAGCTTAACGCTGGGTCACTCCATCCATTAGGTAGGTTTTGGTGCCAC